AGAAGCAGTACACTTTCACCATCTTCACTGTGACATAAATTCTTCTGTTTTTTTGAGATGGAGTCTCGCTCTGTTGCCTAGGCTGGCTTGCAGTGGCGTAATCTTGGCTCACTGCAACCTCTGCCTCCCAGATTGAAGTGATTCTCCTGCCTCAGCCTCCTGAATTGCTGGGATTATGGAGGCCATAAAGGCATATCACCAAACCCAGCTCATTTTTGATATTTTTAGTAGAGTCAGGGTTTTACCATATTGGCCAGGCTGGTCTTGAACTCGACTTCAAGTGATCTGCCCACCTTGGCCTCCCAAAGTGTCTGTGTATAATTAATCCCATTACAGGCATAAGCTGTCGTGACCGGTCCAACTCTTCTTTATGCTGTAATTTAGTCCGTGGGTCCCTTCATTATCTCACCATCCCGTGGTTCACCCCACATTCACCACACTGATGATCTTATACCTGTACACCAGTTATTTCTCCTATGTGCTTCCCTTAATAAACAATAGTCCAAAAGGCTTGGGATATATGCTAGCTGGTTGTTTATCTCTGTTTGCTATTCACTGGACTTAGGGCTTTAAAAATACTCTTTTGCATGTTGTTTAAGTAGATTTTAGGAAGGGAGTACAAGCAGATGAATGCTTTAAATTAATCATTATTATCCAGAGGTACCCGATGTTTCATAAAAAGAGTGGCATATTCTAGATTGTTCTTATTTGCATTACTCCATGTATAATAGATTGAAGTCTCAGGGCTGAACACTAGCAGTGCTAAGCACACTTGTAAAACTTAAGAGTGCCATGCACGATAGTTCAGTGGTCCTTGGCGTTGCTAAATATATATTCAATGCAGGAGTTGCTGGAACATGCCTTGCTCTTTCTTGTGTCTGTGCATTCTTCCAGGAGTGTCCACCTGGCCAACCCCTCTTCCTTTTCAAAGCCCAAATGCTGCCTTCTCTACAGAATCTCCCTCACTTCCTGGGGCCAACAGATGTTGGAGTTGCTTCTCTTGTGCGTCCTTTGCATCAGCATTAAACCAATCAAGATGACCATTTGTAGTTGTTACTTTGAGTATCTGTCTCTTCATTACATTTTAAGCTTCTGAATGAGGGCAGGATTGTGCCATTATAACTTTATCCTCTGCACCAGTGTAAAATGCTCCATGAAATATTTTTTGAGTGAAAGAATGCGAGGCATGAGGAAGCCATTAAGATCAACAAGACATGAAGTATGCCCTCAAAAAACTTCTGCTCTAGTGAGAGAGAGTATGCATATGAAAACATATACGGTAGTATGTACCAAGTACCATAACAGGGTTGAAAATAAAATTCCATGGGGTCAAAGGAAGGAAGAAATTCCATCCAGATGAAGGACACCTAGAGATATTACAAATATCTAGGATTTCACATTTGAAAGATTATGATGGGCCAGGTGTGGGGCTCACGTCTGTAATCCCAGCACTTTGGGAGGCCAAGGCAGGTGGATCACCTTAGGTCAGGAGTTCGAGACTAGCCTGGCCAACATAATAAAACCCCATATCTACTAAAAATACAAAAATTCGCTGGGCATGGTGGTAGGTGCCTATAGTCTCAGCTACTTGGGAGGCTGGGGTGGGAGGATTGCTTGAGCCCAGGAGGCAGAGGTTGCAGTAAGCCAAGATTGCCCCACTGCACTCCAGCCTGGGTGAAACTCTGTCTCAAAAAAATAAAAAAATAAATAAACAAAGATTATGATAGAGACAGTGAAAGTGAAAGAAAACTAGAACCTTCTAGATTAAAATAAGAAGAACATGAGCTAAGTCTCTAGACAGGAAAGCTTAGGATACAAGTAGGGAAGAGAAAGATGTTCAGTTCAGTCAAAACTGGTATACGCAATGCACATTTTATAATAGTTTCGGGGCCTTGAACAATACATGGAGTAAGCACAAATGTCTAACTTCATGAAAATGTATATTAATTTATAAATTAATTTATAGAATGGCTGAACGTATCTGTCTTCTAAGTCAACATACAACACCCTATTTAGTTCTGAATAAAGTTGAACTATGAATTAACATACCATTTTAATTGTTTTTATATTAATTTTTATTTTAAAAGTAATATATGTGCCTTCACAGAATACTGAGAAAACTCAAATTTTCAATTACATGTAACATTCTATTATGTTATCTCATTTTTTTATATATCATCCCAGGAACATTTCCCCAGGACATCAACTACTATTCTAAAGCATGCTCTCTAATGGGCTGGCTGCATATTGTACTATTGTATGGAGATACCAAAATGCCTGTAACCAATTCTTTACTATTGGAAAATTAGATGAATAGAATATTTTTCTTATGAATAATGACGTATTGAACATTCATATATATAACTTTCTGCCTGATCTGATTATCTTCTTACTATAAATTTCTCTAAATGGAATCTCTTGATCAAAGGATAAAAAGTTAAATTTTTTTCATATATATTGACAAATTGCCCTCCAACTGGCACTCTCGCCAGCCATGAATGAGAAGGTCTGATTCCCTGACTACAGTATTGATAAGACTGAGTATATCAATTTTTGAAAAATCTTTGCTAAATTTAATAGATGAGAAATGGTACCTCACTAAAAAGTTTTAGATTTCCTTGATTAATAGGGAAGGATAAGCATGTTTTCTTAGGTGTATTGGTCATTTCCTTCTCTCTCCTGTCTTCAAAAAAATAAAAAGAGAGAGAGAGATGGGGTCTCTGTTATACAGGTTGGAGTGCAGCAGCATGATCTCTGCTCACTGCAGCCTCCAACTCCTGGGCTCAAGTGATCCCCCCACCTCAGCCTTCCGACTAGCTGGGATGACAGGCTAGGTTAATTTTTGTAGTTTTTGTAGAGATGGGGTTTCGCCATGTTGGCCAGGCTGGTCTTGAACTCCTGAGCTTGTGATCTGTCCGCCTCAGCCTCCCAAAGGGCTGGGATTACAGGCATAAGCCACTGTACTCAGCCTCTTTTTCTTTTTTAATGATTTGCTTTCCATGTTCACTGGAATGTAAGGTGAGGCCCCTTTTCTGTGAGGGCTTTGTTCAATGCTGTAGTCTTAGCAATGGCTGGGTCCAGAGTCTGGATTTATGACAGTTTTTTTGAATGAATATATTTATTAATTGGATGTTAACTTTTAAAAAAATGTTTTTTTGCTGGGCGCGGTGGCTGAAGCCTGTAATCCCAGCACTTTGGGAGGCTGAGGCGGGTGGATCACGAGGTCAAGAGATCGAGACCATCCTGGTCAACATGGTGAAACCCTGTCTCTACTAAAAATACAAAAAATTAGCTGGGCATGGTGGCTTGTGCCTGTAATCCCAGCTACTCAGGAGGCTGAGGCAGGAGAATTGCCTGAACCCAGGAGGCGGAGGTTGCGGTGAGCCGAGATCACGCCATTGCACTCCAGCCTGGGTAACAAGAGCGAAACATCGTCTCAAAAAAAAAAAAAAAAGTTTTTTGTAAATTCTTCATAGGTAGATATAAAATTTATTAATTCTGGCAAATAGTTTAACCAATATCTCATTTCTTTTTTAGTTTTGTTTATGGTACTTTTTTGTCAAAGGGAATCTCTCAAACGACTGTGATTTAATATTCAACACTTAAAAGTCCCTTTTTAGTCTTTTTCAAGTTTCAAAAAAAAAACCTATTGGTATTCTGATTCGAATTTTTTAAATAAATAGATAAACTGTGGAAGCAATATTTTTATAATCATGAATATTTCCATCTAGAAACATGTTCATTTAAATAAAATCCTTATGTATCTCATTTTGTAGTTGTCTTCACGTAGTGTCAGAACGACCCTTTATCTTTATTCCTACACTTTTGTTGTTGTCAATATTTGAATGTGATCCTTCTCCACTAGAGTTTTTTTATTTTTATTTTTTGGAGACAGAGTCTGGCTCTGCCACCCAGGCTGGAAAGTAGTGGTACAATCTCGGCTCATTGCAACCTCTGCCTCCTGGGTTCAAGCAATCCTTGTGCCTCAGCCTCTCGAGTAGCTGGGACTACAGGTGCCAACCACCACACCCAGCTAATTTTTATATTTTTAGTAGAGACAGGTTTCACCATGTTGGTCAGGCTGGTCTCACACTTGTGAATTCACCTGCCTTGGCCTCCCAAAGTGCTGGGATAACAGGCATGAGATACTGCACCCAGCTATTCTCTGTTAGATTTTCTAAAGTGCTGTTTGATATGAAGGCTGTTCGTTTTTGCATGTGGAATTTGTAGTATTATAAGGGTCACTGGACTGAATTCTATTGGTTTTAATAACTATTTAGGTGATTTTCTTAGATTTTAAAGATCATTAGTATCTAGCAAATTACGACAATTTTATTTCCAAAAGCGATGTTTTCTTTGTTTTTATTACATTACGTTGGCTAGAGTTCTCAGAACAATGTTACATGACAGTGGTGACAGCCGACATCCTTGTCTTGCTTCCTCACTTTAATGGAAGTTTAGTTTTACCATCGTGTATAAAACTGGCAGTTGCTTTGAAGAGGGGCGTGTGTGTGTGTGTGTGTGTGTGTGTGTGTGTGTGTGTGTGTGTGTGTATTAAGAAACTATTCCTCTAATCCTAGCTGCTAGGGGTTTTTTTTTTTTTAATCATCAGGAAAGGATGATGAATTTATCAAAATTTCAAATTTTCAAATGTATCAATCATAGGTATTTGTCATCCTTTAACTTATTAGTGAATTACGTGAATAGGTTTCCTAGTACCAAACCCTGGTTCATTTTTTGAATTCAGATAATCCAACATATAACTTAGCCTCAAATTCATTTTGATTTTATATCTGCAGTAGGTTTGTTTTCCTAATTATAACTCCTATAGGTAAATCATTGTTTGACTTCTGAGGACATCCTGAGACTGGATGGGGTAGCCAGATGCGTTGGGGTAGAGAGGGAAATTGTAGCTGGGATTTGAAATGTGCCATGGTTAACTCCATAGACAATGAAGCTGAGAACTGGCTGCACAGAATTTCAGTTTCCAGATTACTTACCCATTTGGGTTTCTTTCCAGCTCATTTAAAAGTGTATGATCACAGTATTCAAAAACTAAATGCATTTTTCTTTTTCTCCTGAACACCTCGATGAGGTTCACAAGATTTGGATGTTTTAATTGCTGTGAAAGAATTGAAATGCAAAATTTAGTGATCTGTTACTAGTAAGAGCTTCTCCTCAGACCCCTGAGGAGGGAGAAATTTAAGATTCATCTAATGTACCTATAATAAGTGGTAACAAGAGGACCTGAATCTCTCTGGTGATAGCAAGTAAAGTATGTAACTTAAAATACTGTACTAAAACAAAAAACGCTTCATGTATTTTACGGAAATTTTATATATTCAAGTCACAAAATAACCTGAGTAGAAAACTGAGGAAATGGAATTATTGAGTAAAGACTATAAAATCATCAATATCCACTCAGCTTACATATTGCTGGGGGGATTTTATGTAAATGTCATGTGGATTTAAACTCAGTCTGGATTCTAGTGTTGGCTCCCAGTAATATCAGATCCCAACTTTCAATTTGGATTAAGCTGTCTATTCTAGAAGTCCCCACCGTTAGTCTGTGTTTTAAATTTATTATATTTTCAGCATTGTTCCTTGATTCTGTTGTTCTCTCTTGTGCATAGATATTTTTGTGTGTTAAATTCTATTCCCAAGCTGAAGTATTTCACAAGACAGCCTCTTGGAAACCAAGAGGAAAACCCAAGGGAAAATGTTGATTAGGTAGGATAGTCCATGACTACAGCGATTACATAATTTTATCCTCCAAACTAGGGTAATGGGTAGAATCCAGGACTATCCTAGGCAAACCAGCACATATGATCACTGCCTATAACTACGGTGACCATATAATTTAGCATACACACCAGGACACTTTTTTTTTCTTGCTCTGTCACCTAGGCTGAAGTGCAATGGTGTCATCTCAGCTCACTGCAACCTCCGTCTCCTGGGTCCAAGCGATTCTTGTGCCTCAGCCTTCCCAGTGGCTGGGACTACAGTGTGTGCTACCATGCCTGGCTAATTTTTGTATTTTTAGTAGGGACGGGGTCTCACCATGTTGGATAGGCTGGTCTGAAACTCCTGACCTCAAGTGTTCCACCTGCCTTGGCTTCCCAAAGTGCTGGGATTACAGGCATGAGCCACCATGTCTGGCCACACCAGGACGCTTTTGAAAGGGGATGTGAACCAGGCAGGGCACTGGGACCAAAACTATAAAGCAGAACTGTCCTGGGCAAATCAGGAGACATGGTTGCTCTATTCCTAACCCATCTTCCCGTCCTGGCTGTTTTCCCAGCATAGCAGACAAATCAACTTTCCAAATTGTCTACCATTTACCCAGAAAGATGAGGGCTCCGGTCAGCATTTTGCATATAGTAGAAGCTCAACAAATAGCAGACCCAGTAGAAAGTGTTAGGTACAGAGACTAACAATGCATGCCTCTACCTCAGTACCTCTTCACATAAGCATGGCTTGACCAAAACAAATGTCACCTACAACTGTGTGCCTGCTGCTCAACAGCTTGGGAAAAGACAATCCATTACACATTAAAAATATGCCCAGGCTGAGGCAGGAGGGTTGCGTGAACCTAGGAGTTCGAGATCAGCCTAAACAACACACTGAGACCCCATTTCTCTAGGGGAAAAAAAGGAAAGCCCAAGGTACCAAACGAATTAGCTTTCTAGGTGCCCCACTGCCTAAAGAGCAGACAGGCAGAGTGGAGGAGACTAGGTCATCTGGGAAACCAGAGGCTTTGTGCTCCTGCAAAACCACAGTATGGAAGCAAAGCAGGGTCTCTATTAGGGGAGTAAAAGATTTACAGATGCTGGCTGGGTATAGTGGCTCAGGCTTGTAATCTAAGCACTTTGGGAGGCTGAGGCAGGTAGATCACGGGGTCAGGAGTTCAAGATCAGCCTGGCCAGTACAGTGAAAACCTGTCTCTACTAAAAATACAAAAATTAGCTGGGCATGGTGGCAGGTGTATGTAATCCCAGCTACTCGGGAGGCTGAGGCAGGAGAATTGCTTGAATCTGGGAGGCGGAGGTTGCAGTGAGCTGAGATTGTGCCACTGCACTCCAGCCTGGGTGACAGAGTTAGACTCCATCTCATACACACAAAAAAATAAATATTTACAGATGCTACAGCTTGATGCAATGTCAAGGTTAAACTTGGTCCAATCTCCTGTCTTTGGGTAGGCAGCAATTTATATTTCCTTTGCGAATGAAGTTAACCTAGCCCAGGAAAACAGTAACTTGCCTAAAGAAAAACAGGTAGTAGGCCGGGCGCGGTGGCTCACGCCTATAATCCCAGCACTTTGGGAGGCCGAGGCGGGTGGATCACGAGGTCAAGAGATCGAGACCATCCTGGTCAACATGGTGAAACCCTGTCTCTACTAAAAATACAAAAATTAGCTGGGCATGGTGGTGCGCGCCTATAGTACCAGCTACTCGGGAGGTTGAGGCAGGAGAATTGCTTGAACCCAGGAGGTGGAGGTTGCGGTGAGCCGAGATCGCATCATTGCACTGCAGCCTGGGTAACAAGAGCGAAACTCCGTCTCAAGAAAAAAAAAAAAAAAAAGGTAGTAAGCAGAGAGAGGCAAACACAATTTAAGTAACAGGACTATGTGAGGAAAGTAAGGTAAATTGATCCCAGAAGGAGCTGCTCAGGGCATACATGGTCACAGCATACCAAAAGCAGAAAGATGCACACTCTGACATTCTGAGGGCCTTCATCAGAGACCAAGCTGAGTCGTAATTGGGCTACTTTTTACCTTAAAGTTCATTCGCAAGTTGGGGCACTTGTAATGCAGAAGGTACTACCTGAGCATTAATTTTATTTGAAGACTCGGGAGAGAGAGGCTGAGGGGTAAAAGCATTATTTTTATTAGAAAACCACACTGCCTGGCCGGGCACGGTTGCTCACACCTGTAATCTCAGCACTTTGGGAGGCTGAGACAGGTGGATCATGAGGTCAGGAGTTCAAGACCAGCCTGGCCAAGATGATGAAACCCCGTCTCTTAAAAATACAAAAATTAGCCGGACGCGGTAGCTGGGGCCTGTAGTCCCAGCTACTCGGGAGGCTGAGGAAGGAGAATTGCTTGAACCTAGGCGGCAGAGGTTACAGTGAGCCGAGATTGCGCCACTGCAGTCCAGCCTGGGTGATAGAGACTCCGTATCAAAAAAGAAAACCACACAGCCTGGTTCAGACCCACCCTGCAGCTTAGCTCAGTGAGGGTGCCAGAGGTGGCTAGCTGACCGGCGCCCTCTGCTGGCTAAGAGTTAACAGTGAACTCTTTTTTATCGTGATGGATGTGTTCCTGAAGACTCTACGTACCTATCATTATATTTTAAACAGAACCCTAGTGTGTATTAGTTGAGGAAACTTGCTGGAAATAATGTTTGAAAATGAGAGATAATATGATAATTATTAGGGACAATTATTATCCCCCCTTATAAACTGAATTTCTGGGGATTTTCTAAAACCAGATGATGTGTCAAAAATGAAGGTCGCCTGTGTGTCCTTGAAATCACAGGGTCTTGTTACATAATGTGCAGCCCACACACCAGCAGCTTCCGCACTCTAAGGGCCACCCCAGACCTCCCAACTCAGAATCTGCATTTCATCAAAGTCCTGGGGATTCTACTGCATATTCACATTTGAGAAGTGCTACCCTAGACCTCCGTTTCCTCTACAGAAAATAAGGGTGTTGGATAACAAGCATCTCTAAGGTTGCTTATAGTTCTAAAAGTGTAAGATTTTTAGAGTAAGAAAACATTTACATAGAGAACTTAAGAATCTTACGTGTCAAATCTTATCAGAGTGAAAACAATTATAACAAAAACCTTTATGTAAAAAATGTAAAAGTCACTGGGAGTGATATTCAATATGTCTAAGAAGCTGGGGTGCAGTGCAGGCAGGAACCAATGTTGATGCCTTAACATCAACTGCAGTGGGACGGTCGTGTGGGATTGACTGACTCTGTGCTAGGAGGTGCTTTTTTAAGTTGCTAGTTGGTAGGGGAAGTATTTGGAGGGCTATCCAGAGGAGGGCCAGGATTGGGGGTGAGTTAAACACTGGGGTGAAGGAACTTAGGATATTTATTAACCAGAATAAAAGTTCTTTACAATATCATGATCTATAGCTGTATTCATACATATCAGACAAAACCAGAATGGTCAAAGTCCAAAGTGATAATCAACTTATTATTCAAAGGTGCTGATGCAAAGGAATTTAAGTCCAATGGAGGAAATAACTTTAAAATTCTCTGTAATTTTAGCATGCATAGTTCACTCAATACCATGATACTTTATATATATGTATATATATATAAAGTTAACCTACCTTCAACATATGTATTTCTCTTAGTGCTATTTTCTTAATGACAGGATCATCTTCAGATTTCACAAATTTTTTAATAGCTACTACTTGTCCAGAGGTTTTGTTTCTGCATTTGAATACAACTCCATAAGACCCTTCTCCAATCTTAGCTAATTTTTCATACTTTTCCATTATAGCTGAAGTGATTTAAATTATTATTGTATTGATTGACTTGCAGCACAATATTGCACCTGGAAAATAAGAGACTTACCTTAACCAAGCTATGAAAGACAATATTCTCACAGTTTACATACAACCAATTTGCCCAGATGCCAAAGGTTTATTTTCATCAATTAATTGGAAATCCACTTAAAAATATTTGGATATTATTTTGTCCATTTAGTTTAGTCCTCTGCAGTTCTTCCAGCTATCAAAGGATTTCAAATGCTCTTTATGACAATGGGTCTATGTTTACCCCTGTTGAATTAAAAGAATTTGTGGAAAGGAAACTTATCCTATCTATTGTTTTCATTATCCTCAAGTAAATAACTGAAATATGATGCTGTAAAATCCCGCTAAAGGAACATTTCATACTCCGGAATATGCTGCTTATCTTTTCTCTTCTAACCCAAGTGCATGCACAATGACTAGGAGGAGTTGTGTAAGAAGACACGGTACAAAAAGTGCTATACTTCCACCTGGTGGAGATAAGAAAAAGAAAATGTGGGCTGTTGAACAAAGCAGTCTTTAAAAACAATAACAGGCCGGGTGCGGTGGCTCACCCAGCACTTTGGGAGGCTGAGGTGGGCAGGTCACCTGAGGTTGGGAGTTCAAGACCTGCCTGACCAACATGAGAAACCCTGTCCCTACTAAAAATACATAATCAGTTGGGTGTGGTGGTGCATGCCTGTAATCCCAGCTACTTGGGAGGCTGAGGCAGGAGAATCCCTTGAACCTGGGAGGTGGAGGTTGCGGTGAGCCGAGACTGTGCCACTGCACTCCAGCCTGGGCAACAAGAGCAAAATTCCATCTCAAAATAAATAAATAAATAATAAATAAATAACAGAATCCTTTTAGAATATGTTCTGCTCTTAGTTTTTATTTGCATGGAAGAACAGATTCTTAAGTTCTTAGCCCCAAAAGAAAATAATGATAAGCACGCACAAAAAAGCATTCATTCTTCATGGCTGCTTTCACATCTATAGTGATTTCTACAGAATTACTGGGCTTTTCTGTACTGTATCATCCATTCTTGAATTTTTTGGTGATCAAATTAAATGATGAATAAGGCCAACATACTTAAATAAATCAGTCTAAGAATTAAAAGTAAAAAAATTCTAATTTGTCGTCAGGCGTGGTGGCTCAAGCCTGTAATCCCAGCACTTTGGGAGGCTGAGGCGGGTGGATCACAAGGTCAAGAGATCAAGACCATCCTGGTCAACATGGTGAAACCCCGTCTCTACTAAAAATACAAAACATTAGCTGGGCATGGTGGCGTGTGCCTGTAATCCCAGCTACTCAGGAGGCTGAGGCAGGAGAATTGCCTGAACCCAGGAGGCAGAAGTTGTGGTGAGCCAAATCCATGCCATTGCACTCCAGCCTGGGTAACAAGAGTGAAACTCTGTCTCAAAAAACAAACAAATAAATAAAAAATAAAAATTCTAATTTGTCTCAAAAACTTTATCCAGCAGACTCTTGTTAATGTAACCTAATAATAATAATAATAATGGCACTTAACACTGTTCTATGCAAATTACATATAATGGGCACAAATATTCTGTGAAGTAGGTGATATTTTTATCCAATTATACATATTAGAAAATTAAGACACAGTGAAGGTACTACAGAATTAGAACCCAGGCAGTGAGATTTCAAAGAACACAATTTTAATCACTACACTATACAGCCTCTCAGTTAAGTTCAAAATAATGCACAATTCAGCCAGGCGAGGTGGCTCATGCTTGTAATCTCAGCACTTTGGAAGGCTGAGGCAGGTGACCTGAAGTCAGAAGTTCGAGACCAGCCTGGCCAATATGGTGAAACCCTGTCTCTACTAAAAATACCAAAAGATTAGCTGGGAGTAGTGGCACAGGCCTGTAATCCCAGTTACTTGGGAGGCTGAGTCAGGAGAATTGCTTGAACCTGGGAAGTGGAGGTTGCGGTGAGTCGAGATTGCCCCATTGCACTCCAACGTGGGTGACAGAGCAAGACTCCAACCCAAAAACAAAACCAAAAACAAACAAACAAAATGCATAATTCGAAGAACCACTTAATCCAGGTCTTGGTAATAACAAAAGGCCAGGTTAAAGAGTTGACTACTTGTAAAATTTCTCTTGTTTTGAATGAGTACACATTTTAAAAAACTTCTCTAATATTGTCTTTTCCATCTACAGATGATCTCAATGGTGAAAGAAATTGACTACTTCCACTTGCCACCATAAAAGTATACACTGGAGAAAAATGTTTACCTGGATAAAATGACTATTGACATACTGTTTTTTACAGTGCTGCTTTTTTTAGGTATAAATTAGATTTCCTCTCTTATTAAAGAAAGAAGCCGGGCGTGGTGTCTCACGCCTGTAATCCCAGCACTTTGGGAGGCCGAGGCAGGTGAATCACGAGGTCAAGAGATCGAGACCATCCTGGTCAACATGGTGAAACCCCGTTTCTACTAAAAATACAAAACATTAGCTGGGCATGGTGGCGCGTGCCTGTAATCCCAGCTACTCAGGAGGCTGAGGCAGGAGAATTGCCTGAACACAGGAGGCGGAGGTTGCAGTGAGCCGAGATCGCGCCATTGCACTCCAGCCTGGGTAACAAGAGCGAAACTCCGTCTCAAAAAAAGAAAGAAAGAAAGAAAGAAAATTCAAGAATACACACTCAAGTAACACATGGAAAGTCCATCACAGATTTTGTTCTGAAAACCCTATTATACTGTATTTTTACCTATGTATTATTATTTTAAAGATATGTAGATGAGAGTATGCATACATTTGCATAGTAATTGATGGCTGGAAAGAGAGTAGGAAAAACTGGGAATTTGCTTTAGAAAGTATCTAGCTGGGAACATTGGCCCATGCCTGTAATCCCAACACTTTTGGAGGCCAAGGTGGGAGGATCACTTGAGCCCAGGAGTTTGAGGTTACAGCGAGCTATGACTGTACCACTGCACTACTTCCTGGGCGACAGAGTGAGACCCTGTCTCTAAAATAAAACAAGATAAAGTTATTGGTATAAACTTTACATATTTGTTAATTTAACCTACTTGATAAGTACTATAGTCACTGGGGGAAACTATAAATATGACAAAAAGCTTAATTATGAAGTTTTAATTTATGCTTTCTTTTCTTTTCTTTTTTCTGAGACAGCGTCTCACTCTGTTACTAGGCTGGAGTGCAGTGGCGGGATCTCGGCTCACTGTAACCTCCAACTCCCTGGTTCAAGCGATTCTCCTGCCTCAGCCTCCTGAGCTGGGATTATAGTTATGTGCAACCACGCCCAGCTAATTTTTGTATTTTTAGTAGAGACAGGGTTTCACCATGTTGGCCAGGATGGTCTCGCTCTCCTGACCTTGTGATCCACCTGCCTCGGCCTCCCAAAGTGCTGAGATTACACGTGTGAGCCACTGTGCCCAGCCTATTTTCTTATTTCCCTGTATGTAGTTGATTTGATCTATTGTTTAATGTTTTTTCTTTTTTCTCAACAGATTCAGTAATGACTGATTCCTCAGACTAATATTTAGATCTGGCAGTCACATTAACCAAACTGCTAAATGCAATAAAACAAAGTTCCAGAAAATAGTGTTGCAGCTGGTAACCTCTCAACATTTCTGTTTTCAAAAACCCTACTATACATTCATGGAAAATGGGTCTGAGTATGCAAACAGGAATTAGACCAAGGCAGAAATTCCACAAAGGAATTTACAGCTCTAATTCTGGCTTACTAGGACTGTAACAGAATTTCTGGAGGTAGTAATTCCTAATTTCTTATCTGAGATTCAACTATCCAACCGCTTGATGAACATCTCCACATGAATGGACAGAATCATCTAAAAATGGGAACATTTTATTTTCTTTTAATTAATTATTATTTTTTAAAAAATGGGAACATTTTAAACCAAATGCCTTCTCTTCTTTCTTATCCTCTGTCCACACCCAAAGTTCACAAACATGCTTCACGTTGTGCCTAAATGGGTTGTCAAGGTACATGTGGTGGGGGGACTTTGAGGTAGCCAAGGACACTGACAGCTGCCTAAACCTAATCTCTTCATACATCTTCCACAAAGCAATAAAATCAACCAGGACAAATAAAAATGCACAAATCCAAAGACTTCAATATCATAAGAAGACAGAGGGCTCTAAAAACTGAGGTAGAAAAGCAAAGCCCAAATTCTGGAAGGGATATCTCTTGAGCTCCCACTATAAACCTTGGCAGAAGGCAAAGATATGAGTGGGCTGAGATCTAGAAAAACTGTAAGAAAGACAGAAGAGGAAAAGAAGAGCCTAAGAAAGACTTAAGATCACCTCCTTCCCGAAGAGAAAACACATCACAAGTGTAAAAATACTCTAAGAGTGTCCTGGTAGATGACAGCATTCACTACAAGGAAGGGGTTTAAAAGTATATGGGTATCAGTATGGCACCATTTTTGGGGAATAGAAAGACAAGAGAGAAGAGAAAGGCACCTGCTAGAGATTGGACAGTAAAAGAAAAAAGAAGTAAGAGGGATAAACTTGGCATCTTGCAAAACAAAAGAGAATTCTGAATTGAAGGACATGTGAATCCTCCTGACACCACGAAGATGGGGGAAAAGTGTCATTAATGAAAGAACCTGCACTTTGCTACAGCGACAGAAAAGACTCTCTTGGCCTAGAATGATAGCCAGTTACTATCAGCCAAAACCTGCCTGAGAAATGAAACAGTGGAAAGCAGTACCCATACTAAGTATTACTGGAAGAAAAAATCAATGAGAATCTAAAAATTTCAGTTAATGAAAATCATTTACAAAGAAACACACAAAATCTAACCAGGAAGCAAGCAAACAAACAAACAAACAAACAACGACGACAAACAAAAAAAACCTAACAACAAACACTCCAAGCTGATTTAAATATCCTCTCACAATTTGGAGATATGAAAAGCCACTCTGAATCAGAAATTCAAATAGTAAAATCACAAGTAGACAAAAATTAAGAAGATATATATATGTATACATACACACACACACACACACACACACACACACACATATAAA